TAATAAGGATCGTACATATCAACATTTGTTATTTAAGCAAGTCAATCTGTAAATTGTGAAAATACACCAGTGTAATGTTTATGAATTACTAGTTTGAAGCATAACTATAGTGGTAGCCACAGTTATGTGTGACAGTTGCCATTCTAAAACTGCTCTATTTACTCATAACTCTCTGAATCTTTAGTATTTCAGGCTAAAATTTTCCACAGTTGGTCTCTATATGAAGGTAAATGATTATGGAATGTATGAGCAAAAACAGTTCAGCCATATCTAAGTACAGGAAGAATATAAACAATTTTTACTTTCTCCATTAATAAAATCTTCCTACAACTTTATTTTGAACAGTTCTAAAGTCAAAATGGCTGATGGTAAACATCTGAAATTCAGTATGGACTTTGTTTGGATTTGGTAAGATACTGTATGGTTCGCAGAGAAGAGACCCACTCTAATACCTCTTTGCAGCTCTGTAACTGGGGAAAGGTGCAAACTTCCTAAACATCCCAGTTTCTGCAAAGACTTACATGTGTATTCAACCTTAAGTATGGTGTAAGACTTTGCAGGATTGAGGCCATTTGCATTTGCAGGAGATTTGATATCTCTTTCAGATGTGTGGGACAGAGAAAATGAGTAGAAAATCTAGTTTATTTTCATAAGAATATTAAATGTGACTTTCAACACCAGGGACTACATCCTTAGCTGCAGCTGAAATACCACTAATGTAGCTGGAGGAAGGGGGTAAAGGTGGTTGCAAGACTGAGGGCTACTCTAAATTTACCTCTGCTCTTTAGGAGATGCCTCAGGTCCACACTCTTTCTCCGGAAAACACCTCCTACACTAGGAGTCAGGAGATAAGGGTTGGTGCAGAACCAGTATGAGGGGATTCCTTTAAGGGGAATCCCCAAGGAGTAAGTTAAGTAGGCTTCTGGCTGCTTTGCACACCAGAGTGGATCTGAGAGTCAGGCAGTAAGTTTTTATAAAAGAAAATATGAGTGATTTTTACCTCACAGACTTTTTCCAGTGTTGGCATCCATGAAGTTGCTAGGTGGCAGTTTTGCAGAACTACCCAGCTGCCCTCCTTTACTGCCTTCTCTATCATTCGCATGGCTATAGGACCTTGGCCCTGTCCCAGCGACAGAGAGCTCAGCTTTGATCCACCATATCCCTGTACATAGAGAACACTTTTAGAGTGACAAAATATTATGAAAGTTTATAGAAACACACCAAACACTGACATAATTAACATCCACATTTTTGTTTGTTAAACAAGTATAAAACCACATTAAATTCAAACTAATTAAATAATATAAAAGTATTAAGTAAATTCTACACATAAAAAAATTTTAAACTAGAAAAATCTTATCACCTTTGGATAAGAAACCATATTTAGTTTGTTTTGAGGACAGCATCTTTGGGATTGTAAACTAGATTTAATTTGGTTTCTAAAGGCGGAAGGTTTTCAGTTTCCATATGAACTGGCCTAACTATCAAACCCTTCCTTTTTTGATACTACTTCTGACAAGAAAGAGGAAACCTGAGAGTCTAAGCAGCCAAGAAGATGAGACAGGCACAGATGAGTAGAGAAAGGTGCATTTGTGAAAGAGACCCACAGTAGCACATGCAGAGAAAAGGACAGATGGTTAAAGTAACTGAGCAGGAAGTGGAAAGAAGACACCAAAGAACCCAGGAGTTCCTTGTACACTGCCCACACCATGAAAATCTATAAAACTATATAGTCTTGTTTTAGTGTGTAAAGTTTCTTCTTTTACATTCTGCAAGGAAAATTCTGCCTCCCCTTCTCTCTTATGTGAAATTAAAATTCCCCAATTAAAGAAGGAAACCACATGATACATAAAAACTTCATACTAAGATAAATATCTTTTAGATTACAAACTCTTCATGGCAGGGGCATGATTTCTATTACTGTATGTCTAGAAAGCACCTTGCTTATCACGGATGCTGCCATAAACAAAAACCGAAAAATAATAATAGCAATTATACTTAGAATAAAGGGTGTGTAAGCCTAGCAGTGTAAATGGTCTCTGGAACTTGGATTGGCAGGACTAAAGGTGCTGGTCAGGCAGTGCGTTTTGCCCTTGGTGTAAAGTAGAGTGTGCTTCACTTCACTTGCTAACCCCCTCTGGTCAACTGAAAAAGTAGCATCCATGAAGCCTCCAGTCTTCACTGGGAGGGGTGTGTTTGAAGGGACTGAGAAAAAGGGGAAAGAAGGTAAGACCCTGGGTTTCCCATCAACAAATGGTAGGGGAAAGCTAATCTTGAGACTCACCTGAGTTTCTCAAGCCTATTCTTTTTTAGTAAATATGGAAGATGTGATCAAGAAAAGCCTGAAAACTGGTTTTTCTAGTAATACCATTTCATGAACAGGTATCTGATACTCAGGGAGATATGTGGATTGAAATGAGGATTTACACCTACATATACATTTCAAACATTTAATTTGCAGTGTGTTTTAAACCCAGCTCAAATCTTCTTTTCATTCCATTCCAGTTCAACTTAATCTCATACCAGGCAGCCATTGGCTCTAGCTCCACATCCATTTAATCCTGTACTGTAAAATTCTAAATACTTAAAAAGACTTCTCCAAACAGCTTATTGTTTGAGGCTGTAGATGTCCTATTACAAACTGCAGGATATATTTACAGCTTGGTGAGTGGAGATTTACAGTATGCCAGTCACTCCCAATAGCACAAAATTCTGACAGAGTAATTGCCAAGAAATACAAGTCTTTCATCTTACTGGAAAAAGGTATTACTACAATATGATGTTTTTTATGAGAACTTTTTTTTTGTAACGTCATGTTGCTAATGGCTAAATCAAATAAAAATATATTTGTACAAGTCCACCCAAGGCCATTGGACAAAACTTCTTTATTACTACATTAGGTTTTGTAACAAAGTGGTTTTTACATTCATATTTGCAAAAATTAACTTCAGTTTTCGGAAAAGAACTAATTAGAATTTCAAAAGCTTTAAACCACTATTTTTGACTCTCTTTTCCCATTTTCTAGTAGAGATTACATAAACTAACCATTTTAACAGTTCTTAAAATCACAATGGGAAAGAAGATGCAGTAAATAATGAATGCGTAATTTCTTACAAATAATGACCCAGTTGGACAACCTTCATTCATACAAAATATTCACCAAAGTTCATTAGTTCTTTGTGTGACTAAGGACCACAGAATCAGATCTAATGCATTTTTAAGAGTTCAAAAGTATACTCTATGAACTTACTCAACACTTCAACATTTAGGGTTTAAAAAGTATTGCTTCACATACACAAGAATGTCATCAAAATGAAGCTTAGAAATGCTAATATACCTGGTCATCAGCAAACTTGAGAAGGGCAGCCATAGGGTCTGCACCAGGAGACAGCACAAAAATCAATGGTGCACAGCAGTGGCTATCAGAAAATGCCTTTGACAAATCAAATGGAGGTGGTTCAATAAATGGACGGCCCAGATTGTCAATGATAAATTCTTGCACCATAGGGATAATCTAGAAAAGCAAATATGTGCTGTATGAAATATGTGTGTTAAACATCAAGATTTGTCATTCTGAATATTTTAATATAAATGTCAAACAAGCTACTCCTATTTGTAAAATTATGCACAGGAATAGTCCCATTGAATTCAATGTGTAAGTCTTGGCAGGATCAAGGTTCAAGTGGCAAGATTCAGGAAAGAGGAGGACTAAATAGTTTCAAACAATGAACAATCTTATTTCTGGAGGTCAACTATTAGGCAGATTGGTAGGTCAGAGTAGGAAGCTGGAACTGCTACTGCTCATGTTTTATCTGTACTATGGAGAGGATTCCAGTTTCCAGGGCTAATCAGTCAAGCCACTTTCACTAGTCCTAAACCCCAATCCTATATGTTATTCTGCACAGAAGTCCCCTACGCTGAAATCAATGGCAACCTTACAGAAGCAAAGCCAAAGATCCTGATCCTGCAAACATGTATGGATGTGCTTCACATTAATACCATGAGTAGTCCCATTAAAATAATGGTATTAGTCATGGTAGTAAAATTAATCATGTGTGTAAGGATTTGCACAAACACAAACTAAATGTGGATACAGACATACAAATCACAAAACTAGTGGCTAATTTGAAAACAAATATGACATACATTTAAAAACATTTGCTTCTGAGTATACACAGTAAAAAATATTTTCTTAAGATTTCAGTTTCATAATTGTCTGTGGCACTTTTGATTTGCCCATCTCCATTGTGCAACCGATAAAAATCTCAGCACATCTCTAGAGTGATGCAGTTTAAAACATATGCTAGAACATTTTTATATTTTTTCTTTTGTTGTCTTGAAAAGAAATGCAAAATCTTTTGTTAATGCACTATTTAAGTTTAAACTCTGAAAGTGAAACTGTCAAGAAATGCAAAAGTTTTTCTTTTGTTGTTTTAAAAAGAACTGCAAAGTCTTTTGCTAATGCACTACGGTATTAAAGTTTAAACTCTGAAAGTGAAACTGTCAAGAAATGCAAAAGTTTAAGTTTTTAATAGCAGTGTTAATTGAGCCACATTATATACTATTTCTGTAGCATTTTTGATTACTAGTTAGATTGTTAAATGCAAGAGTCTGTATTAGCTCAATATTAAAGTTACAAATTTAATCATTAAAGTATCAAGAAATACAAAGATAAGCTCCAAATATCTGTATTAGTTCAGTCCATTTGCACATACTATACACTAAGTTGTACATTTAACAAAGATATACCTTTGAGTGCTAAGAATGTGACAGATACAGAAATTTCATTGTGACCTCACTTCTCTTATTCTGCTGCTCATAGACTCACCTGCCTTTACTTAATTGAAGCACCTTCATTATTTACAGGTGAGAGCAATGAAGCCAATGAGTGAAGTGTCTTTAAATTTGAGAGGGAGAGGTAAAACATGGAGTATTACATTGGTTAGGGCAAGGATCAGACAACAGGGTTTTTTTTTGTTTGTTTTTCTTCTTTCTTTCAGATGGAGACTTTCTTAAAAGAGCTAAGTTTAGCCTGTAAGCATTTGATTGAGTTTAGAGACATGTATGAGTATGAGAATCGCATAAAAACCTTCAGAGATTGGCCTTTTATGGAGAATTGCAAATGTACCCCTGAGCATGTAAGTCTGACCATGTCTAATTTTATCTATACCTAGGAACTAGAAGACAAAAATAACAACAGATTATATAAAACCTCATTAAAACTTCCAAATACTTCATTCTCTTCCCTGATAGACTTTGTTAATTAAAAATGCTCTTAAGCCACATGTGCAAGTTAAAGCAGAGTTAGGAGTCTCAATTAAGCCTACAGAAGTTAGGGAAGAAGAGATAGGTACTTTAATGTCCTACACATACTGCTCTGAGAAGGCAGTGGGATGAGTGGCTATGTACCAGGTCTGTTTGGAAGCTTACAGGCATAAGGAAGAGGGGTTTATATTTAAAAAAAAAAAAATTTGAGGTCTATCTCTCCTAGAACTTCTGGATTAATTTGATGCTTGATTTCATGCTGTAGAGACTAAAGTGTTTCCCTCACTCCTGAACCTAAAGTTGCATGCTATAGCAATGGCTACCTATGCACATGCTAGAATTCCCTAAGTGAACAACTCTTGCTATTTAGATTCCATTGTAGCAAGCTAAATTAACTATGAGAATATGGGGATGGTGGGTTTTATTGTTTTGGGGTTTTTAATGTATTAAAAACCTGTAACTTTCAGAGTTATTGACTTGCTTGACATCTGAGAAAGTGTCCACTAGAGCTAGGTGAATAGTGGAATTTTTGGGTGTGGGGGCTAAACAGAAAAATTTGAAAAACTATTTAAAATTCATACTAAAACAACTTCTTAAAAAGCTTTCAATCAAATCTAAAACACTCATTTCAAATAACCCATAACACTTGAGCTGATATAAAATGAAATTTTTGAGTTGTATTTTTCTCCCAATTCAACCATTTTAGGTGGTGGGTGGTTGTGGTGTGTGTGTTAAATTGGCCAAATTTAAAATCAAAATGCATTTTTCAGGATTGGATGACCCAAATTCAAAGAACCATTTTAGTTGGGGGAAAGAATCAAAATGTTTCATTTCAAATTTGAAACTGCATTTTTTTTTTGGTCTGGGGGGCAAAAATTAATTGGGAGTGGGAGCAATCCACACTGATATTTATCCTTCCTGTTAGATAATGAGCACTAGATCTGACAATTCATTATTTGACCTCTAGCACTTATAAAAGTGAATCATTTAAAATTAATGTCCACTCAGTGCTTTGAACATATAAAGTACAATAATATTATAGCCTGTAATTCTTTGAAACGGACACTTATGAGTCATGCTTGGGTACAGCTGCTGTATATCTTGAGGGTTACACCTCAGATGAAGCATACTTGGAGTTATCTGAGCAGGTGTGAAGGAAGTTGAAACCACAACACATATAGGTATACTCACGGAAGCTTATGCTCAAATAAATTTAAGTCTCTAAGGTGCCACAAGTACTCCTTTTCTTTTTGCGAATACAGACTAACTCGGCCGCTACTCTGAAACCTTCTAAAGATGAGTAATTGTAGTTTTTAACTCCTTAGAGTTGATTTAGCCATGGCTCTAATACACCTAGTGGCGGAATATAACTAACCTAAACCCTGACAGTGGGATATAACCTATTACTTTGGAAACCCGCTTCCTAAACTTTCTGTACTAGGAAGCTCACTATAATGAGAACTACAGAGTTCTAACTTCATATTTGTGTGACTCTCTCCTTTTGTGGGGTTGCCTGGACAAAATTATATTTGCAGAAGACAGGTTAGTTCAACAAACTATGACCTCACCACTGACTATTCCACCCTGAAATATTTGAGATGACAATTTCCCTTAATTTTTTTCTCTAAGAGAAAACCTTGCATACTGTAGCAGTCAAATGTTTTTCTTGCACTTATGCATTAATACAATGGCAAACTATGTCTTACTTATTTCTGGATAAACTATTACTTCTAGTATTACTGTTCAGGCTAAAATTAGCCCTTGATTAGTTCCTGGGCAATATATTGTGAATAACTAGCTTACTGTAATCTCAAAAATGGGCACCTGCAAACAGCTACTCCATGCAAAAAGATATTTATTGCCTTTAGCCTCTTTTCTCACCCTACAGCTTGTCTGTTACACCCTCTTGTTATCAGTTTTAAACATAGGTTCCTTATCAAACCAGCTACTCCTTGCTGGAAGACCCCAATGTTTGTGAAGCCTTGCAAGACTGAGACTTTAGATTGTAAAATCTTTGGGGGAGGGACTGTTGTCTCATTATATATTTGCACAGTGTATATTACACTAGGGCCCAATTTGTTGGGCCCTTAAGTACTACCACAACTAATTCTCCTCTGCAGATGGCCAGGGCTGGCTTTATCCACTGTCCAAGTGCAAATGAACCTGATGTGGCAAAGTGTTTCTTCTGCCTGATAGAGCTGGAGGGCTGGGAGCCAAATGATGATCCACAGTAAGCACTAGTCTGCCTATATTCTTCCCCACTCTTTACACTTTGAAACTACTCAAATTTCTTGAAATAGTCCTCCACATTATCTCTGGACTACTCCCCTAATGTACGAGTTTGAGTATTATTTCCCCTCCTATGAGTTCTGTGTGTGTTCTGGTTTAGTTACCAAAGCAGTCATGTAAACTTGACCAGCAGACTTCAATTTTCCATTACTATGGAAAACATTTATTTCTTTGCATTCAGTGTAGCTATATCCTGAAAAGTAACACATACTGCTATGGAGGGTTCTTTGCCTCTCAATGTTTCAATATAAAACTCTTCCCCATTTTAAAATTTGAAAAAGTTCTGTCAGCACTGCAAACTGAACATAAAATCTCACCTTACCTGATCGCTCTCATTACAATGTCTACGGTAACACCCACTGTTTCATGTTCTCTGTGTATATAAAATCTCCCCACTGTATTTTCCACTGAATGCATCCGATGAAGTGAGCTGTAGCTCACGAAAGCTTATGCTCAAATAAATTGGTTAGTCTCTAAGGTGCCCCAAGTACTCCTTTTCTTTTTGCAGATGCAGACTAACACGGCTGCTACTCTGAAACATAAAATCTGACACTCTAGCTGTATTCTTTCTGGCTTACAATTGAAATATAACTATATCATTGGAAGCTAGAAAAACATAGCTCTTACCTTTTAGCTGTGTTGCCGCTGCAGTGCTTACATAAATAAACTTGCCTGTCATAAAATAAGCAGCTGACTCTGAATAAACACAGGTTTATCTGAATAAAGAGGTCCTGGTTTTAATATAGCCCATATTCTAACTAGGCCACTGGAGTGTACATCTCCCTCAACTCATGAAAACTGGTTTATGTCAATATATTCTGTGGTTTAAGGTTTAAAAACTAATGTGGGTGGGTGGGTAGGGCATGGAGGGGGAATGGAAGAAATGAAAAGAAGTGCTTTAGGCTGCTTAATTTTGAAGCGTAGGTGCCAGGTCTTGGGTTAAGTTTGCCAGCTATTCTGAAACATTCATACAGACCATAAAAGATGCTTGCTTTCCCTCTTGTTGAAATGAATATTCTGGTGTGGCGGTAATAAACGTAGCTGGGAGGGCTGGGGGGTGCACTAACTTGTGGGTCTCTGCCACATATATCTTAAAGAATTTACTTCATCTCTTCCATCTGCTATTAGAAGAAAAGAGGAGTTTCACAACTCTCTTGACACTTTATAAATAAAAGTTTGATCAATGCAGCTATTTAGGGGCAAAAGAAAACATAAAACAAGTCTGTGGAAGTTATAGAACATCTTTCATATTAGAGAATTGTATCACTCTCTTCCATCTCCTCTCAAATGCTGTGGAGGACTGACTATTCCCAAAATGAAACTCTTGTGTTTGTGCTGCAGGGTAGAGCACTCCAAACGTCCTAGCAACTGTGGGTTTTTATCCCTTACTAAGAACTTTGATGATCTGACAATGGAGGAGTACTATATGCTGGAGATGGACCGGCTCAGGACTTTTCTTGTAAGTGCTCGTGCAAATATTGTTAATGGCTTTCGCTTAAATGGAGGATGTTGTCTGAATAAAAATTTGCCCCCGAGAGTGGTTACCATATAGGAGAGAAGGCAGAAATCTCTCACTGGAGGAACCTGCCACGGCTGCAGTGTCTAGGAACTCAAGGCCAGATTTTTAAAAAGTGTTAGGCACTTAATGGGATTTTTTCCAAAGTGCCTTTTTCTTTTCTTAACTGCCTAAACACTTTTTAAAAAATCTGACCCTCTATGCCTAACTCCTTACAAAACATCACTCCCCTGGACGTGTTTAATCTAACACTCAAGTGGCAGAAAGAGTACTATCCCTTCTGTGTATAATATAAAAACAGCCCTTGGAAGCTTCACCAAGTATTAACCATACTAGGTCATCTTGAACTGACAGGGCTTCAAAGAGGACACACCTAATCATAGGCATAACTCTTGTCAAGCACTGTACCTTCCCCCTGTTTCAGTGTTCTTGTGCCAGCAGCTTTCCAATAAAACTGCAGAAGACAAATTGGAGCCCCCCTCTCACAAGTTTTGTAGTTATCCTGCTCACTGAGAGATCATCTCTTTGGAATTCAAAGGAAAATGGTATTATCACACCTTAGAGAAGCCTTCCTTCTCCTGGGGTTACTGGAGTGGCAGTTGTCATGCTGTTGAGGTACATAAAGTGATAGCTGGTCCCAGGAACTGGACTGCTTTAGGGTAGAAATTGACATTTGATAGATAGGTACCATTAGTGAATCTAATGGGAGACTTAATTAGAGGCTGTGCTAGTTCCCCATTAGGGTAACAATCACTGATGAAAGTTCTATATTCCACTTCCTGGGTAGCTTTTGAATGTCTAGGTCAGAGGTGGGCAAACTACAGCCCATGGGCCACATCCAGCCCGCGGGACCCTCCTGAGCTCCTGGCCCAGGAGGCTAGCCCCCGGCTCCTCCCCTGCTGTTTACCCCTCCCCCGCAGCCTCAGCTCACTGTGCTGCCAGTGCAATGCTCTGGGCGGCAGGGATGCAAGCTCTTGCCAGCAGCGCAGCTGCAGAGCCGGGCCTGTCCTGGCGCTCTGGGCAGCGCGGTGGCGTGGCTGCCTGTCCTGGCGCTCTGGGCAGCGCGGTAAGGGGGCAGAGAGCACAGGGGAGAGAGGAGGGTTGGATGGGGGCAGGGGTGTGGATGGGGTTGGGGCAGTCAGAGGGTGGGGAACGGGGGAGGTTGAATGGGGGCAGGAGTCCTGGGGGGAGTCAGGAATGAGAGGAGGAGCGGGAGGACAGGAAATTGGGTTGGATGGGGCAGAGATCCCAGGGGGGCCATCAAGGGACAGGAAACTGGGTTGGATGGGGCAGGGATCCCGGGGGGCAGCGGGGGGGGTTGGATAGGGGGCCAGGCTATGCCTGGCTGTTTGGGGAGGCATAGCCTTCCATACAATTTCAGAAACCCGATATAGCCCTCAGGCCAAAAAGCTTGCCCACTCCTGGTCTAGGTCTAACACTTCAAACAGTAAGTGAAAACTCTGGATTTACTTAAAGTGCAAAACCGGCAGAAGCACAATGAAGTCCTTTGAAGAAGAAGTTGATGCAACCAGAAAACGCCTCATTGATCACTTTGTCAGCAAACATCAGTACACTCCAGAGCCAAAGATGCCGCTATCAGAGTCTCCCTCAACTTGCTGATTTTATTGCACAAAGTTCAGGAAGTCACCGGGACCCCCGAATGCAGCCCACTGGGCAAAAAAAAAAATGCAATATCCACAGACTTTCAGGAAGGTTTGTTCATGTCTAATTTTCATGTAGCCTGTCCTAAACATTGATCTTATTGGTACTTGGAATAGATATCACAGATTCAGTTGTCTGAATAATAAAGTACTAATTTCTGTAGACACTTACAAAGTACATAGTTCATATTTACTACAGGTATTATATTTTGAGGTTTATTTGATCACTATGGCAGATGTGGACCAATAAATCTCCCAATAAACTGGTTTATAAAATAAAATGTACATTGACTTGTTAAACAGAATACTTCTGTACTGTTTTTAGATGGTCAAATATCTGTATTCTTAAATAAAGATTTACAGCTGATTGTGTGCACCTGACCTGTGATATACCCAAGCTTTGGGAATGTTCAACTCAACAGATTTACTGCTGGGCTTTTTGCTGCCTTTCAAGTAGCCATGGTATCTGCTACTTATCAGTAAATATGTAGCTTGTGAAGGTGACCTTATCAGCCAGTTCCCAATACTTGTCGTAACCTTCAGAAGGACTTGAATAAAAGAACTATTGTTGGTGACAACTTACAATATTGTGTACTTATTACGCAGGTGACAACTGTGACTTTGAGTAGCTATTGACAAGCTTCTATTGAAGCACAAAAACTGCATAAGCTATCTATTTCTCTCATAACAGAACTTGATTTTATGTTCTAAATTCTAGGTCTGTGGTAAGTGAAATATGCAACATCTTGTATATTTACACTTGGTAGATATATAAACCTTGTACTCAGATGAAAGGACATGGAGGCAGAAGGCAACACTAGCCATTATATACTTGTCAATAGCTCACACTTATGAAGGGTAGAAGCTGATTACTGGTGTTGTCTGGTCAATATCTATGGTAGATACAGAGATGGACAACAAGGCACTCTTGTCTAATGGTACAGTCCCAGCAGGGCATGCCTCTATGCAGCCTCCCCTTATTTCCTCTCCCACATATGGGTAAACTAAGTCATGCACACCATTCAAAGTGGACAACTACACAGGACTTCAGCCTACACCAGGAATCTGGTTTTTGGTGGGTTTCTCTTCCTGGCTAACACTACATAAGATCACCTGGACAGCAATTTACAGAAACTAGTCTATAAGTATTTGTTGAAGTAGTGAGGTTTAGGGTTTCTAACCTTGTAATTCCCTGGACTAAATAAATATTCAACAGTAGTGATAAGTGTATTCTCATGCATGATTAGAATGTGAAGTAATATAAATGTACATTGCTGAAGGGTACAATCCTACTTCCATTGAAGACAAAAGTTTTTGACTTCAATGACAGCAATACTAGGCTCCAAGTGTGCAATTTTTTTTTAATGCATACTCAAAATTAGCAGACACAGGGAGTTATTCATGCTTAAACAATTTGAACTTGCAGAGGAATTTGACAAACAACTGGCTGGCTTTCCACTTTCAAAATGGAAGGACTAATGGAATACTTCCAGTTACTTCCTTTCTTGGTAAATGGAAACACCTACTTACAAAAATGCAGATTACATTCTGTCACAAACTACAACCATGATCTGTTTCTTTTAAGGTAATCAGTGAATGCTTGCATAGCTTTGAAATGCATAAGCATCTGACAATTCTTTGGTTTTAAGCCCCACTTCCCTCAAATTACAGAAAAAGACAATTAGTGGAGAGCAACAGAGAAAGAAATTGTCTGGCTTTCCCCCCATTTTACTCTAAGGGAGGGGCAGTAGGTGACACCTGTGATACTGTCCAACAGCAAGTCTTTGCACTTCCACACTTACTTTGTCAGGCCTCAGGCAGCGAATCATAAGCATCCTCTGGAATGGGCCCATTTTGTTTTGCCACTCTTCAGGGAAATCCTCATGGTGGGGTTCCTACAAGCATACATGCAGATTATAATTTGAGTGCTAATTAAATAAAGCTAGAGTGAGACTAATCTAACTGCTTTACTCTTAGGAATCCTTGATACAGGTGAGACTGCAAAAAATGGTGAATAACTGTTACAACACATGTACTAATCAGTGTTTCACGCAATGCAGCAACCGATACAGGTAGACTGAAATATTTAAAAAGAAATGGGACAACAAAAATTCCTTCCATTCCTTGCTTTGGAGTAATTCTAAAAGTACTATAATTTCCTTTTATTTCCCCCCACTACATAAATGTGTAACAATGCCTCACGCTGAGACTGGGGTGTAAGTATGGCCATGTTGCCAATTCATGATTTTATCATGTCTTATGCTATTGGACATCTATCTTAAACCCACGGTGTTTGGAGTATGTGAGCACACACAAATGCCAGCTTCTATATTTTAAAAAAGTTTTGCGCCCTCATGACCAAACAGAAAATACAAATTCTAAAAGCTCAAAGATCTAAAGGTGAACAAAAACAACCCGACATTTTTCAAAAGTCTTATGATATGATCTAATGACTACTTAAAGCGTCCGTACTGTTATTGCCAAAAGTACCAGCCTATTTGGGTGTGGGGATGGTTTGTCAAGGGATAACATGTGAGCTCCTAAAAGCACTACCAAATTAGTGCCGCAGCTGAAAGAAACAATCCTTATAAGGGTGGAGAGAGAAGTGGGCTTAATTATAATGACTTCCTGGTAGCCTCTTCACAGCTATTAGCCCCACCAACACAAAAAACCATCCGGCTTTCAGAGTTGTCTCTTTGAGCTCCTGAGAAGATGTCTTTTGGTCCATGTTGAGAGCTCTTGATTTTATTACCTGTGTCTTTCGCATATTCCAAAGTCAATAGAAAGTGCTAGGCCCTCCTTAAATGTTGGTTTGGTTTTGTGAAGATTGTTTTAACTAACCAAGAGCTATTTACCTTCAGCTAATTTTCATAGCAGTGCTTAGGAACATAGCTGTGCAACTACAATGCATGTCAGAGGGAGTTGGGCAGTTAGTTTCTCCATACCCATTTGAAAATGTATCCTTTAGAATACTCTAAATATCCATGGCTCTTTCTTTTAGTTTTCACATCTGTCTTTTCTATCTGGCTGGACCAATGTATGCTGCATAGCATTCTACATTGCAATATTAGAAACAGTTGCAAATGGATACCAGCAATGAAGTTTCAAATAGTAATAGGAAATGCACCTTTTGAATCATTTAAGGTACATGCTGCTTTACTGCTAACCAAGATTTACAAAGCAAATTTACTTTTAAAACGTAGGGAAACAAAGGGCTAGATTCAGAAGGACTTAGGTGTTGCAATGCTAAGGGTCCAGTGCCTAACTTTAAGGACCCTGTTGATTAGTGGAATACACAACCCTAAGTTAGGTGCCTATGCTCCCTATATAGTAAAGGGTGAGAGTTAGGTGATTAAAAAAGGGATTCACAGAAGCCAGCACACTGAGTAGGGATTTGAGATGTTGAAGTGAACCAGGAGGAAATGCTGAGGGTGCATAGCCTCATCCCTACCCCTTAAAGCAGAGGTAAGCAAACTACGGCCCACGGGACCGTCCTGCCGGCCCCTGAGCTCCTGGCCTGGGAGGCTGCCCCCGGCCTCCCCCCGCAGTGACGCCGCCGCACGGGCAGCACTCTGGGCGGTGGGGCTGCGCACTCATGCAGGGCAATGCGGCAGCGTGTCTGGCTCCGGCTGGGTGGCACAGCTCCCAGACATGCTGCTCTAAGCAGCATGGCAAGGGGGCCAGGGCTGGGGGTTTGGATAAGGGGCAGAGGGTTCCAGGGGGCAGTCAGGGGACAGAGAGCAGTGGGAGGGGGCAGATACGGGGCGGGGACCAGGCTGTTTGGGGGGCAGAGCCTTCCCTACCAGGCCCTCCATACAGTTTCACATGCTGATGTGGCCCTCAGGCCAAAAAGCTTGCCCACCCCTGCCTTAAAGGGTGTTAGGAATCTATCTTAGCTTGGGATTCACAGACATGAAACCTCTCCTGGAGTCAGGAACTTAGGCCAGGTCAGCCCTTTCTCAAGAAAAATGGAAGAAATGGAGGTGGTGTCCTTCTTCTACCCTGTGGCCTAGGGGTTGGAGCACGCCCTGTGACACAAGAATCTCTTAATGCCAACTGGCAAAGGGATTACAGGAATGTCCTGAGTCTGGTATGTACATTCTTGTTCACCAAAGAGTGTCATGTGAGGATTTAAATGAAAGCTGAGGTCACACTGGTCATTACTATAATTGTGAAATGTATGTACATACACATATTGAAAATACACGCTTAGAGTCTGTATCAAGGTATGAGTCACAAGCAGAGGTGACATAACAGTTTTTTTGTCAGACAATAGATGTTTATTCACCAATCTCTCTGTTGAGATGTATAGTCAAGCATTATAAGCTAACACAATGGATGCCTATTTACATACAAAGTCAACAAAAAGATGTGAAGTCAACAGGGAAGCAGCACATAATAAAAATAAGCCATGAGTGGTTATCCTGTCTCTGAGTACAGACAACAAACTTTGGGAATATGAGAAGACGGCAAAGAACACCCTACATCACCCTACACCTAGGAAGTTAATGGGTAATGCCTTTACATCAGTGGTTCTCAAACTTTTGTACTGGTGACCCCTTTCACATAGCAAGCCTCTGAGTGCAACCCCCCATATAAATTAAAAACACGTTTTTATATATTTAACACCATTATAAATGCTGGAGGCAAAGCAGGGTTTGGGGGTGGAGGCTGACAGCTCACAACCCCCACATGTAATAGCCTTGTGACCCCCAGAGGGGTCCCGACCCCCAGTTTGAGAACCCCTGCTTTACAGTCATGAAAATGGCATCTTTGCCAACCTTGGTTGAAAAGCTGCAAAAGATGCTGGGTGAGAAAACTTCTTTAGACAAAAAGAAAAGGAGTACTTTTGGCACCTTAGAGACTAACCAATTTATTTGAGCATAAGCTTTCGTGAGCTACAGCTCACTTCATCGGATGCATACTGTGGAAAGTGTAGAAGATCTTTTTATATACACA